TCAACAAACAATACTATAGGCATAATTTGTAAATTTAATTTTAGAACTTAATATATTTTTGCCCTTATTGACAATATATACATTTTTTTTCAATAGTTAGGGGGTGTACGGGTCAAATTACATTCACTTTAACTAATTTCATGTTCGGTCCAATTAAAGACAGATCATCCATGCTGGAACTAGTACATTCATAAGGGTAAATTTCTTATGACTTGGTCTCAATGAATTGCTAAAATTCAAATTCAGGGCGTTTGAATTTACAACAAATCGTCCTGGTTATCACTTGATTTATCTTTAGGATTACAAAAAATACATTAATGCCTTTGAATTAACAGTTGAGCTTAACATTAAATGACATTCATTATCAATCTAAAACACGATATATTAGGCTCCTAAAATAAGTTTGATAATTAAGTGCAAATAACATTGTTATATCTCAGAATACCGCCCCAAAAAAAAGGGTGAATGATTTGACCCCATACCTAGAGGTGGAAAATGGGTGAATTGGGTTGATTTAAAATAAATTCAATCCAGTTTTCACTCATGTATTAATGAGTTATAATGAGTTAGATTTATAACAGGTTAGATTAAATCCATTAACCCATAAAATAATTAAAATTTTTAATAAACACACATTAATACACCAAAATACAAACAAACTCACGTGCACACACACACTATAAGATATCAAAACACATATACTAATACAAAAACTAAAACACATTTAATAAAAAAAATACACACACATAATGGGTCGGGGTTGATTGTGGGCTATGGGTTGGTCCCCAGGTTGTGAGCCATGGGTCAACCAGTGGGTCATGGGTGGGTGGCATATTAGTGTATGTATTTTTGTGTGCTAGTGTGTGTATGTTTTGGTATATATATGTATTTTTTGGTGTATTAGTATGTGTGTGTATTTTTTGGTATATTAATATATTTATTTAATTTTATTAATTATTTTATTTAATAGAAAGTTAAATACTAAACTCAATGGGTACCCATTTATAAGCAATATTAACCCGCTCCATTAAAATGAATTATATTATCATATTCATTTACAACTCACATTAATTAATATAAGTACTCAAGCCATTTATTTATGAACGTGTTGAACGATTTAATAAATAATAGANTGGTCAGTGGCAGAGCCATTAGTAGACCAGGGGGGCACGGGCCCATCCTGAAATTTTTTTAAAAATTATTAACTATATATTTTTAAAAAATTTTGGTATATTTCATGGTGTCCACCATATATATCTTGTGTTAAATCTATTAATTTTTTTATTCTATCAAATAGTATAGACAAATACTTAATTAATCATGAATTTTTTGACACATTTTACACTTTACAGACACGTCTACACAAGTTTTTTATATGTCAAATTTATTTTTTTAGTTATAAAAATTGTGAGAATTAAGTTACATAATCAAATGGGTGAGTTAATTATTTGTATAGAGAAAGATATTCTCCATAGTATGGAGAATGAAGTTATCATACAACATCTTTAAAATATGAAAACTCATCAAAATCAATTGTAAATAAGTATAATGAGTCTTTATTATTATTTTTTTGTATATCTTATGTANCCTAGTATTCAAAAACTAGCCCAGATGTTTGGCTCAATCGCCTCGGACCCTCTACCCATATCCTGCCAAGGCCCAGACCCTAGGGCATAGTCCAACCTCAATCTCACATTGATAATTTATTTTTTTAAAATATGTAAATATTTAATTTAATTTTTTCGTCTCCCTTCCTTATTTTTTCTCTCTTTCTCTCACTCCCTCTCCCCTTATTTTCTTATTATCTCTCCTATCTCCTTTTATTAACATTATAACAACACAATTACACTAATTAGTTACACAAATTAGTTACAATTACTATATAATACACTAAACAGTTACTCATGCATTATAACAAACCAAACAGTTAAACTAAACAATTATACGAAATTATGACACTAACTCAATTTGTCATTCAGTTATTTACATAAATTAAAGAATTACACCATTTAGTATCACAATATGATTATACCAATTATATATACCAAATTGAGTTTATCATTCACAAAAGATTTTACCATTATACTAAATTTGGTATATATAATTGGTATAACGATGTCGCGATACTAAATGGTGCAACTATTTAGTTTATATAAACAACTTAATGACAAATTAGATTGATATTATAATTTTGTGTAATTATTTAGTTTATTAAAACACATGAATAATTATTTTGTGTATTATAGATCAATTGTAGCTGATTGGAGTAACTGATTAGTGTAGTTGTGTTGTTGTAATGTTGATATAAATATATAGAGAGAGAAAGAGAAAGAGAAACAGTTAGAAAAAATAGGAGAAGAGAAATATGAAAAGATAAATCAAATCTTTATATATTTGAAAAGAAAATAAATTATCAATGATAGATAGAGAGAAAATAGGGGAGAGATGGGAAAAAGTAACGGGGGAGAAAGAGAGATGGAGAGAAGATAGGGGAGAGATAGTAAGAGAGTCTAATGAAATCTGTATATATTTAATTAGATATATAACTGTTAATCAAAAATGCATAATTTAAGGAAGAGTATTTAGGTAAAAAAAAATATTGATTTTATTTAAATTTTGTACCTAAATACAATATATTTTATTAAAATTGAACTTAATAGAGTAAATAACTAATTTATTCATTTTTTTTTTCAAATAAGTCTAAAAAATTGTACCCACAACCAAAAATTGTAACGCCTTGCTCCTTGTGAGGATAATGCCTCAATTAGAACCCTTCAGAGCTAACTTTGCTTACCTATAAATTATAAGTTTTACCTACACGTGGAGCGCATCACACTCATTTTAGCACATCATACCTCTTAAGTAATAAGATTCTTCGGTTACCACTGTCATTCCTAGTGGAGTAGGTCACCAAATCAAATCACCTAATTTTTATGTTTTCTTGTGTTAAGCCCTTTTTTATTTTATTCTTGATTGATTTTATATAAATTCACTTTTGTGCATTGCCATTATTGATTGATTAAATACATAAAACCTTAGTACATATAATAATTTATGAATTGTTTGTATATGTGAAAGGGATAAATGAGGTTCAAATCTACGATCATTATATCAAACAATGGGATGATTAGTCATTAAGCTATTACTAAATCCTCGAGCTAAGTAACTTTATTAACACGAATGTCTAAGTCACTGTAAAAAAAAAAAATAGTAAATTATACATATAGTAAAAATTCATTGTTGACCGGCGGATAGAATAAATAAAAGCCAACTACTCAATTTAGTGTATCCATTCAAAGCTGGCAGGCTTGAAGAAATCATAAAAAATGTGAAGTAAGGTAAGTTTCGATGTTTCAATGTCTACAAAGATTTTTGTTCTGTTCTGTGGGCACCGCTTGATTGAAAGGGTGCAGTTACTATCAGCCCCACTTTTGCACTTATTTTCTTCAAAAGTTCATATATTCGAATAAAAATTTAATCAACTTTTGTGATTAGTTTTTTTCTATTAATGTATTTCATTTTGATAAAAAATAAATTAATGTATTTCATAATTTTTCACTGTATTTTTTTTTTTTAACTACAAGATATCTCAATAATTGATCACCGTGGTTTGAGATGGATTAAAGCATGTCTCTTAAAATGACAATAATGACTAGCCCTCGGAGGATATAAAAAATAATTGAATCTAATACTTTTAGATTATCAAATGTCGAGTTTAGCCACTGAACTATCTCTAAAAATTATAATTTTTTAATTTGTATAAACTTTAAATAATTTTGTGAAACAAAAGCTCGTTGTCATGCCATGACATAAACTACTACATTTTCGGATATATTCCATTTTTCAGGCCATCCAATAAGTAAAAATTAGGGGTAATTTCAAAATCTTGCCAAGTATTTGAGAGCATATGTATTATAGACCACAAAATTTTTGAAGAATATATATGCATCACCCTGTCTTTTATGGCACATTAAAAGAAGAATTTTCAAAACAACATTTGTAAATTAGGATATGATAGCAGAGTCCATTTTGTTCCTCCTACTTAATTAGAAACAAAGCAAACATTTTTGAAAATGTGTCACCCTCTCTATGTTTGAAGAATATTCCTCTAAAAATAAATGTTATCACTGTTTATCAAATCAAATGATGACATTAAAAAATTAAAAAAAAATTGTCACCGTGACCCCAAACAAGACACAAAACCCACAAAGAATCATGGAAATAAAGATCATCGGATGAACATCGAACTACACGAATGGATTGCTGTATCTGAGCAACACACTTGATTCCTCTTCAGCTGGATACCAAAAAAATTTATTATTTTTATGAATAACTTGCCACTTTTGTAGGTCACTTGCCAGTTGCCACACTTTTGTGGGTCCTTTTCCTTCTGCTGGCCTGCTTATCCTCATGAATGAACACAGAAAACTTCTGTTAAACAAGGAGAGAGAGACAGAGAGAGGAAACGCCGGAGCACCAAGGGGAAGAGAAAGAGATGGCGCTGGAGATCATCAACATAATCAAGACGTACATGGAGGGAGAGATCAGCATCTGCATAAAGGTATACCTTGTGGCCTTCGTATCTTTAAGCTACTGCTATTTTGCTGGAAAGATAGTCCCAAAAGGAACACTCAGGCTTTTCACACTCATCCCTGTCATATGTCTCAACCTACTCCTCCCTCTCCCTCTCCACACCATGCATCTTGGAGGCTCAACTGCTTTCTTCTTAGCTTGGCTTGCCAACTTCAAACTCCTCCTGTTTGCCTCTGGTAAGGGCCCTTTATCTGATCCTTCTCTCTCTCTACCCCGCTTCATTGCCCTTGCTTGTCTCCCCATCAAGATTCAACAAGCTACACAATTTAAGAACACTAATCCTTCTCAAAACCCACTAAAAGATCAGATTAAAGAAAACCCATCTCCCAAAACCTCCCAAAAAGGTCTCAAATCAGTGTGGAATTATGCCATAAAGTGTCTACTTATAGCTATAATCCTTCGGGTATATGAGTATTCGGATCATATCCATCCATATATTTTACTGGGTATCTATAGTTGTCATATATACTTTGGTTTGGAGATTGTGCTAGCCATAGTGGGAGGACTAGCTCGAGCCCTTCTGGGTATAGAGCTCGAGCCACAGTTCGACGAGCCCTACCTCTCATCCTCACTCCAAGACTTCTGGGGAAGAAGATGGAACATTATGGTGACCCGAATCTTACACCCGACCGTATACCTGCCTGTGCTCCAAACATCAGCACGGGTCATAGACAGAAAATGGGCCCCACTGCCAGCAATTTTTAGCACATTTATGGTTTCGGCCTTAATGCATGAGCTCATCTTTTATTACTTGGGCCGTATGTGGCCCACTTGGGAGCTCACATGTTTCTTTCTGCTCCATGGTGTGTGTTTGATGGTGGAGTTGGTGATCAAGAAGGCAGTTTCCGGCAGGTGGCGGTTGCCGCTGATCATCACAGGGCCGTGTATTATCGGGTTCGTGATGGTTACCGCCTTTTGGCTGTTTTTCCCTCAATTTTTGAGGTGTAATTCTATGGATAGAGCAATNTTTTTTAATTTGTATAAACTTTAAATAATTTTGTGAAACAAAAGCTCGTTGTCATGCCATGACATAAACTACTACATTTTCGGATATATTCCATTTTTCAGGCCATCCAATAAGTAAAAATTAGGGGTAATTTCAAAATCTTGCCAAGTATTTGAGAGCATATGTATTATAGACCACAAAATTTTTGAAGAATATATATGCATCACCCTGTCTTTTATGGCACATTAAAAGAAGAATTTTCAAAACAACATTTGTAAATTAGGATATGATAGCAGAGTCCATTTTGTTCCTCCTACTTAATTAGAAACAAAGCAAACATTTTTGAAAATGTGTCACCCTCTCTATGTTTGAAGAATATTCCTCTAAAAATAAATGTTATCACTGTTTATCAAATCAAATGATGACATTAAAAAATTAAAAAAAAATTGTCACCGTGACCCCAAACAAGACACAAAACCCACAAAGAATCATGGAAATAAAGATCATCGGATGAACATCGAACTACACGAATGGATTGCTGTATCTGAGCAACACACTTGATTCCTCTTCAGCTGGATACCAAAAAAATTTATTATTTTTATGAATAACTTGCCACTTTTGTAGGTCACTTGCCAGTTGCCACACTTTTGTGGGTCCTTTTCCTTCTGCTGGCCTGCTTATCCTCATGAATGAACACAGAAAACTTCTGTTAAACAAGGAGAGAGAGACAGAGAGAGGAAACGCCGGAGCACCAAGGGGAAGAGAAAGAGATGGCGCTGGAGATCATCAACATAATCAAGACGTACATGGAGGGAGAGATCAGCATCTGCATAAAGGTATACCTTGTGGCCTTCGTATCTTTAAGCTACTGCTATTTTGCTGGAAAGATAGTCCCAAAAGGAACACTCAGGCTTTTCACACTCATCCCTGTCATATGTCTCAACCTACTCCTCCCTCTCCCTCTCCACACCATGCATCTTGGAGGCTCAACTGCTTTCTTCTTAGCTTGGCTTGCCAACTTCAAACTCCTCCTGTTTGCCTCTGGTAAGGGCCCTTTATCTGATCCTTCTCTCTCTCTACCCCGCTTCATTGCCCTTGCTTGTCTCCCCATCAAGATTCAACAAGCTACACAATTTAAGAACACTAATCCTTCTCAAAACCCACTAAAAGATCAGATTAAAGAAAACCCATCTCCCAAAACCTCCCAAAAAGGTCTCAAATCAGTGTGGAATTATGCCATAAAGTGTCTACTTATAGCTATAATCCTTCGGGTATATGAGTATTCGGATCATATCCATCCATATATTTTACTGGGTATCTATAGTTGTCATATATACTTTGGTTTGGAGATTGTGCTAGCCATAGTGGGAGGACTAGCTCGAGCCCTTCTGGGTATAGAGCTCGAGCCACAGTTCGACGAGCCCTACCTCTCATCCTCACTCCAAGACTTCTGGGGAAGAAGATGGAACATTATGGTGACCCGAATCTTACACCCGACTGTATACCTGCCTGTGCTCCAAACATCAGCACGGGTCATAGACAGAAAATGGGCCCCACTGCCGGCAATTTTTAGCACATTTATGGTTTCGGCCTTAATGCATGAGCTCATCTTTTATTACTTGGGCCGTATGTGGCCCACTTGGGAGCTCACATGTTTCTTTCTGCTCCATGGTGTGTGTTTGATGGTGGAGTTGGTGATCAAGAAGGCAGTTTCCGGCAGGTGGCGGTTGCCGCTGATCATCACAGGGCCGTGTATTATCGGGTTCGTGATGGTTACCGCCTTTTGGCTGTTTTTCCCTCAATTTTTGAGGTGTAATTCTATGGATAGAGCAATTGGAGAGTACACAGCAATGGGGGCGTTCGTAAGAGATGTTGGTGCGGCGTTGACGTTTAAGTCTGTCAATAATGCAACAAGAGTTTAGTGGGCTTGGTGACCCCTTTGAATGTTGTACTTGTAATGAACTCCTAGCTTGTGGGGATCGAATTCAAGTTTTATTTGTAACGAGCACAGCACGATTATTTTTCCTCACTTTCGAACCCTAAGCATCATTATTTAGAATGAATTAGTCGCACTTTTTGAAAACGATAACAAAATAATCTAACTTCATATGATTGGTCACTTGACATGATTTAATAGAATTGTAAATTTTTTTATTAGAATTGTGTCGATTAATACATCATTAACTCAAGAACACANAATATTCCTCTAAAAATAAATGTTATCACTGTTTATCAAATCAAATGATGACATTAAAAAATTAAAAAAAAATTGTCACCGTGACCCCAAACAAGACACAAAACCCACAAAGAATCATGGAAATAAAGATCATCGGATGAACATCGAACTACACGAATGGATTGCTGTATCTGAGCAACACACTTGATTCCTCTTCAGCTGGATACCAAAAAAATTTATTATTTTTATGAATAACTTGCCACTTTTGTAGGTCACTTGCCAGTTGCCACACTTTTGTGGGTCCTTTTCCTTCTGCTGGCCTGCTTATCCTCATGAATGAACACAGAAAACTTCTGTTAAACAAGGAGAGAGAGACAGAGAGAGGAAACGCCGGAGCACCAAGGGGAAGAGAAAGAGATGGCGCTGGAGATCATCAACATAATCAAGACGTACATGGAGGGAGAGATCAGCATCTGCATAAAGGTATACCTTGTGGCCTTCGTATCTTTAAGCTACTGCTATTTTGCTGGAAAGATAGTCCCAAAAGGAACACTCAGGCTTTTCACACTCATCCCTGTCATATGTCTCAACCTACTCCTCCCTCTCCCTCTCCACACCATGCATCTTGGAGGCTCAACTGCTTTCTTCTTAGCTTGGCTTGCCAACTTCAAACTCCTCCTGTTTGCCTCTGGTAAGGGCCCTTTATCTGATCCTTCTCTCTCTCTACCCCGCTTCATTGCCCTTGCTTGTCTCCCCATCAAGATTCAACAAGCTACACAATTTAAGAACACTAATCCTTCTCAAAACCCACTAAAAGATCAGATTAAAGAAAACCCATCTCCCAAAACCTCCCAAAAAGGTCTCAAATCAGTGTGGAATTATGCCATAAAGTGTCTACTTATAGCTATAATCCTTCGGGTATATGAGTATTCGGATCATATCCATCCATATATTTTACTGGGTATCTATAGTTGTCATATATACTTTGGTTTGGAGATTGTGCTAGCCATAGTGGGAGGACTAGCTCGAGCCCTTCTGGGTATAGAGCTCGAGCCACAGTTCGACGAGCCCTACCTCTCATCCTCACTCCAAGACTTCTGGGGAAGAAGATGGAACATTATGGTGACCCGAATCTTACACCCGACTGTATACCTGCCTGTGCTCCAAACATCAGCACGGGTCATAGACAGAAAATGGGCCCCACTGCCGGCAATTTTTAGCACATTTATGGTTTCGGCCTTAATGCATGAGCTCATCTTTTATTACTTGGGCCGTATGTGGCCCACTTGGGAGCTCACATGTTTCTTTCTGCTCCATGGTGTGTGTTTGATGGTGGAGTTGGTGATCAAGAAGGCAGTTTCCGGCAGGTGGCGGTTGCCGCTGATCATCACAGGGCCGTGTATTATCGGGTTCGTGATGGTTACCGCCTTTTGGCTGTTTTTCCCTCAATTTTTGAGGTGTAATTCTATGGATAGAGCAATTGGAGAGTACACAGCAATGGGGGCGTTCGTAAGAGATGTTGGTGCGGCGTTGACGTTTAAGTCTGTCAATAATGCAACAAGAGTTTAGTGGGCTTGGTGACCCCTTTGAATGTTGTACTTGTAATGAACTCCTAGCTTGTGGGGATCGAATTCAAGTTTTATTTGTAACGAGCACAGCACGATTATTTTTCCTCACTTTCGAACCCTAAGCATCATTATTTAGAATGAATTAGTCGCACTTTTTGAAAACGATAACAAAATAATCTAACTTCATATGATTGGTCGCTTGACATGATTTAATAGAATTGTAAATTTTTTTATTAGAATTGTGTCGATTAATACATCATTAACTCAAGAACATATGGTGTTTTTATTCTGAATCTACACTTCGAGATATATTTTCCTATGGGTTTAACTACTTCCTTGTGAATAAGCATAAGGTGGGCTTGTTAATGTTTTGACTGGGTTGATACAATGTATGGTTGAACACCATGCTTTGCACAAGTTCGCCTCCTTAGACTAGGAATTGGGCACTTTTTCTATAGTCAAAAAAACAAGCAAACACACGCACCTTGTAACTTATTGGTATTCTATGAGAGAGAGAGAGAGAGAGAGAGAGAGAGAGAGAGAGAGAGAGAGGAGAATCAATCACGGAATTAGAAAATTCAAAATGGGAGTCAAATAAAGAAAATCGGTAGGTAATATCAAAAAATTGTACACGGATTGGTGAAAATTTTGATTTTTTTTTATTAACTGTGAAAGGTGTTCATGTTAGTTTACGCATATCTTGATTAATTTTCTTTCTGTTTCAGTCAAAAATAGGTCATGCACACCAAGATTAGGTCTGATTTCAAAGGGCTATCAAGATTCGAACTCATGATATTCAAGTTTACAACTTATTTCTATTATCACTTGAATTACTCTTGATATTAAAATTTTTGATTTTGAGAATTGAGAGAAGCCAGTTTAAAAAAATGAAGATACTTTGAAAAATACTAAAAAAAATACAGAGATCCGTAAGATTTGGTGGATATTGATTTTTAGGTTAATAGTACTTTTAGTTCTTGAAATATGTATTTTTTGTCAATTTAATCATTAATGTATCAATTTTGTCTTTAAAATATTCAATTCGTGTTATTTTGGTCCACATAGACGGATCGTTAAGTTTTTTGATTGAAATGATCACGTGTTATTTTTTTTAGACAGTATCATGTGTCTAAAACATAATCATTCCGTCAAAAATTTAACGGTGTATGTAGGAACAAAAATGACACAAATTAAATACTTTAATGACTAAATTGACAAAATTGATACATTAAAAATTAAATTGACAAAAAATATATATTTTAGAGACTAAAAAAACGACTATCTATAGCAATGTCACAATGGTTTAAATGCCCTTCTAAAAATAACTAGTTATTGCTCATGACGATTACAATGGGAGCGAGCGTTAGTAGTGGTGATGGACGGTAGTGGTGGTGGTGGGAGACGGTAATTATTGTGGTGAGTGGCGACAACCGTGGTGATTGTGGCAGTCATGAGTGGCAATAGTGATGATGGTGGTGAATTTTTGGTGACAATTATGACTGTGGCAGTCATGAGTGACGACGTTGTGGGTGATAGTGGGCGACAATAATGGTGGTTAGTAGTGGTGGTGGTGGGGGCAACAACGAGGGTGGAGGTGGTAGTAGGTTGTGGTTGTGAGCGGTGGCGATGGTGATGGTGAGCGACGACGGATGCTTTTCTAGGCGACAGTATGATGAGTGCTGGCGAATGATGGTAGTAGTAGGTATGGTGGGAATGAGTAACAGTGGGTGGCAACAGTGGTGAACGATGACAGGTGGTAGTGGTAGGTGTGGTGGGGGTGGGTGACAGTGTCTAGCGACAATAGTGGGCGACGACGGATGGTAATGGGTTATAGTTGTGGGTGGCAGTGGGTGATAATGGGCAACAATGACGGTGGTGCTGGGTGCTAATAGATAAAGGTGGTAGTAATAATAAATATAAGAATAAAATAACGATGGTGGTAGATGTGGTAGCAATTAGTGGTGGGTGAAGTGGCGGCGATGGTGATGATGGTCTTTGGGAGGTGGTGGTTGTAGTGATAGGGTGGCGGTAGGGGTGTCAACGACGACGATAGTAGTGTTGGTGAAGTGGCAATAGTGGTGGTGGTTGCGGCGACGATAGTGATTGTTATGGCAGAGGTGGTAGTGGAATGACAACAGTGATGGTGATAGTGATGGTGGTGGTGGTGGTAGTGGTAATGGTGGTGGGGCGATAGGAGTATGGTGGTAGTGAGACCGGTTCTAAACACTACTTTTTTTTTTAAAAAGTATTTGTAAGTTACAAGTTCTAGAAATATTTTTAAAAAGTCACATCAAACACACCAATAGTGTTACGCCCCATCCCGGTCTCCCAAGGATGAAATNAAGTTACAAGTTCTAGAAATATTTTTAAAAAGTCACATCAAACACATCAATAGTGTTACGCCCCATCCCGGTCTCCCAAGGATGAAATGCGACTAAGTTTTACATACACCTGTGAACAATTTTTATAAGCTAGACTAATCAAACATGATATAATCCTACAGGTGCAACAACAACACTCATCACTTTAGTTATTAAGCATAATGGTAAAACTTGTCTGATAATTTGTACTATATATAAACACCTATACCAATCATTTATTTCCCAGGTTATAGACATATAAAAACAAAATTTCACACCCACATAGCATACATCACAAAGTATGCTTGCTAAGTTTATTTATAAATATCTACTATTAACCTGTTATAAATATCTCTCATAAATATAATAAACAACTCAACAGTTAGTCATACCGACACTCAACCTGAGTGGTATCACACTAACATTGCACAAGACTCAATCAACTGAACAGTGGACCAGTCTGTATTCTCCTCTATAGTACCTGAAAGAAGAAACTGTAAGGGTGTGAGCTAAACCACGCGCTCAGTGAGTATACATACAGTATATGAAATGAAAAGGATAGTAATACACTGCAGTAGATAGCTACTATGTAGATACATATATCAAACAATAACATCAATCCAATTTCAAAAAATTCACAAGCCACATCACATCCACACTACCCCTCATTGGGTAATCGATCCCATATGAATCAGTGTCTCCCGAACCTCCCGGACACACCACAGTGCTAGCACATCACTGCACGCCCAATGACCAGGCATCGACGCCCCTGTCTCAAACAGTGCGCCACATTCCACAATACACAATACATAGTACAAAGCATCATCTAATCACATAAGCACGTAGCACATAATCTTAAAGAATTACTATTAATTTCTATTATTTAATATCATCTAATAATAGCATTTTCAAAACATATACAGCTATACACCCACCTCAGATGTACAAATCTATGGCCCTCCGATCCTATCAGTGGATCCTTTCGGTGTCACCGTACCTGTTTCAATACCGACTGT